GGGGAGGCTGGAGGGATAGGCAGGATTTTTGGAGCAGGGAGAGAGAAGGAGGGTGGAGTGTCCTGCTTTTCTACCAGTTCTACAAAATGACTGTCACTTTCTAAAATTTAGGTAAAGATACTGTGATTATCTTGATTATTTAGGAGAGAATTTTCTTACTGTGTAATTGTTTATTTCATTGTATACATTATGTATGATTTTGGAGGGGTGTCTTAAAAATAGCCTTATTTGGCCGAGACCGGTTTGGCTCAGTGGATGGAGCGTCGGCTTGCGGACTGAAAGGTCCCAGGTTCGATTCCGGTCGAGGGCATGTACCTGGGTTGCGGGCACATCCCCAGTGGGGAGTGTGCAGGAGGCGGCTGATCGATGTTTCTCTCTCATCGATGTTTCTAACTCTCTATCTCTCTCCTTTCCTCTCTGTAAAAACTCAATAAAAAAAAATATAAAAAAAAGTATATTTATAAAAAAAAATAGCCTTATTTGAAAATTAATTGTTTTTTCCATTTTCTCTTTTTATTTAGGGATATTATGTGCACCGTGACATGCTAGGAGAAAAAGGAGATTTCATTACTTCACCTGAAATAAGTCAGATCTTCGGGGAGGTAGTATCATTCTAAACTATAAAAGAAACTAATATCACAAACATTTGAAAGCAGATCAAGGTGCTTTATTTTATATAATAGTGTTTTACCGCTTTGTTTTTGTGATTCCTCAAAAGTTTTAGTTTTTTAGTAGTAAATATTGAGGGAATAGAAAGGTAACAGGAAAGGAAATGGTATAACGGGCAATAAAAAGTTTATACTTTACTATAGAAAAGGGAATGTAGAGATAAGGAGGACAAAAGTAAAGAGAAGGAAAAGAGATGGAGGTAAAGAAGTGAACCGGATGAAATATGAGAATGGGAGAAGGAAGAGAGACAAAAGCAAGGGTGAGGAAAGAGGTAGTTTATACCCCAGAAAGAATTACTGGAATCAAAATGAGCTCTAAAACCCCAACTATAATTTAGCCATAGTTACAGTAGAAGTCTTCCTTTAAGAAACTTTGGATTCTTTTCAGGAACTCTACTTTATTTATTTCCATATAATAACCTTTCATCAATTTAGAACTAAGATATTGTACACAAGAGGATGTAGAATTCAGGTACTAAAAAATATATTGCTTATGTGTAAGAGCCATGTAATTATTGAAATGATATGAAGAACTGGCATAGCTATATACATAATTATATTTCATATGTCTATTTGCTTTCAAATACTAGTACTGTTCTATGATATTCTTATCTGTGTCATGGGACTTTTTGTAGAGGAGGGTAACTTTTAACTATTTTCTCCAGTTATTAAAGCTTCCTAACTAGTATGTGTTGTAACATAGTGCATTTTCCTGTGTGTGCAACTATGTACACATATTAAACACATATGGTTGTTTGCAAACATTTTGCTTTCTGGCATAAAGTATGTATTTGCATGGAGTTTAATGTTGTGGTATACTTTGATACTTTATAATACTTTAATGTAAGTTTTTTCTTGTCACAGCTGCTAGGGATATGGTTTATTAGCGAATGGATGGCCACTGGGAAAAGTGCAACTTTCCAGCTGGTGGAACTGGGTCCAGGTCGGGGTACCCTTGCAGGAGATATTTTGAGGGTAGGTATAAAAGAGTGTCTTAAAGTCTCATGTATGTGATTCTTATTACTTTTGACTGAGTTTGCAAACTTCGTTGATTTTATTGGCTTTCAGTCCTCCTATTTCCTTAATCTCATATTTCTTAACTAAAATATGTCAGAATAATACAGTGAGTGATTAGTTATTGTCTGTTTTATGGTTAAAATATGGGGGTGGGGCGAAAGTGAAAGCTACAAGTATAAAACATTTAGAAGACATTATGGGAGATCATATTTGTCTTCTGAGTAGGGAAAACGTTTTGAATTCTATATAAAGCAGAACCTATAAAGGAAAATGTTAATAATTTCCACTACATTAAAATTAAGAACTTTTTGTTCTTTAAAGAAACTAGAAAGTTTTTGTTCTTCAAAGACACCATAGAGTGGTGAGACAAACCATAAGTTAGAGAAGTTATTTGCAACACATATAACCAACAAAGAACTATTAGTCTTCTAAGTCAATAAGGTGAAAGATAACTTACTAGAAAAACCGGGCAGAATATGTGAATAGGCCCATCGTGAAACAGAAAACCCAAATGGCCAATACTAACAGAAAGATGCTCAGACTCATTGGTAGTCGGGAAAATGAGTTTAAATTGATGATATAGTCCTGGTTGGTGTGGCTCAATTGGTTGGAGCTTTGTCCCATATACCAAAAGGTCATGGGTTCGATTCCCAGTTAGGGCACATGATCATGTTTCAGGTTCAATCCCAGTTGGGGTGTGTACAGGAGGCACCAATTGATGTTTATCTCTCATATCAATGTCTGTCTGTATGTCTGTCTCTCTCCCTCTCCCCCGCTCCTCTCTCTAAAATCAATAAGCATATCCTCGGGTGAGGATAAAAAATATATGTATGATACCACTGTATCCTCAGAAAAGTAAGTCTGACAACACCAAGTGTTGGTGAAGATGGGGAAATCTTCTAGTTTTATTTGTTAATCACAATTCTAAATTTTATCATTAGGAAACCAAAATCTATACCAGTGGTTCTCAACCTTCCTCATGCCTCGACCCTGTAATACAGCTCTTCATGTTGTGGTGACCCCCAACCATAAAATTATTTTCGTTGCTACTTCATAACTGTAATTTTGCTACTGTTATGAATCATCATGTAAATATCTGATATGCAGGTTGTATTTTTTTTTATACTGTTCCTTTTTTTAAATATATTTTTTATTGATTTTTTTACAGAGAGGCAGAGGCAGGGATAGAGAGTTAGAAACATCCATGAGAGAGAAACATCAATCAGCTACCTCCTGCACATTCCCTACTGGGGATGTGCCTGCAACCAAGGTACATGCCCTTGACCAGAATCAAACCTGTGACCCTTCAGTCCATAGGCCGATGGTCTATCCACTGAGCCAAACCGGTTCGGGCTGTTCCTTTTTTATATATGCTATCTATAATAATAAAAGCATAATATGCTAATTAGACCGGACAGCCAAACAGTCTTCCAGTTGTCCTTCCTGATGACCTTCCAGCGGAAGCTGGGGCTGTGAGGGCCAAGCCTGTTGCACAAATTTCATGCAACGGCCCTCTAGTGTTTAATAACTCTGATAGGTTATGATTCTTATAGACTGCTGGAGAGTGACTGTGTAAAGAACAAATTTTTCTGGGACCAATTATTACTTATACTATGACGAGCAAATTATTGAGGTCAGTGGTTAGAAAAACAAAACTCAGCCCATTGTATTTTGCCAATTTTTCTTCTTTTTTTATTTAGGTGTTTAGTCAGCTTGGATCTGTGCTGAAAAAGTGTGACATTTCAATACATCTAGTAGAGGTGAGCCAAAAATTAAGTGAGATTCAAGCATTAACTCTGACCGAAGAGAAGGTCCCATTAGAGCGAGATGCTGGATCCCCAGTATACATGAAAAGTGTTACTAAGTCTGGGATTCCAATTTCCTGGTACCGAGATCTGCAGGATGTTCCAAAAGGTAATGATTTTCCATAGTCTAATGAGAGAATTTTGATCACAACCCCTCACAGTAGTAAAGAATTAGGCATTTTTTGTTAATGTTCAGAAGAACCAATTCGTTATCTTAAATATGCTTAAACATTTTTTTCTTCTTCCACTTTTAAATAGAGCACAGCTTTTATGTTGCACATGAATTTTTTGACGTCCTTCCTGTGCATAAGTTTCAGGTATGATGGAAAACAGGACATGTTTATAATTGAATAACAAAGGACCTTGTGTTGTAAGAATAAATATTTGCGGTAGTTAGTTATTCAGTATATAAACATTACTTGTTGAAGTTAGCGATATTTGGAATTTCTTATGACTAAATAATTGAAAAGCAAAAGTGAAATATTAAGTAGAATTCTTAATTCTCTTGAGATAAAGACGCATGAGAGTATAAGATGCTAAATGGCTATAGTACAGTAAAAATTACTTTTTAGCAAATATTTTTAAATTTCAAAGATTAGAATTTATCTTTATTCTTCCTGTGAGAAGATTTAAGATTTGGTAGTAATGTATGTGTGCTGATAACTTCTAAGGCTAAGAGTCTGTATTATATAGCAATTTATTAGCAAAAGCTTCTGATTGGTGTTCCTAAGTCTGTTTTCCATTTTGGGGCACTTTCCAGGGTGCTATTTCATCTTCTACAGCTCTACCTCTTATCTAAACAACATTAATAGTTTGTGTCTATCAGTCTACTCATTATTTAGAAGAAATGAAGTAAAGCCTTGAAATAATTTTAAGTGGTAAAAGTGGTCTGTAAATATTATCTATGTTATACATGGTAAGAGGAGAAAACGAATAGTACTTTTTGCTGGTGACAGTTTTGAGAACAGACTTTCAAAAATTTGTTTTTATGCATTATTTTGTGTTTAGAAAACCCCACAAGGATGGCGAGAAGTACTCATTGATATTGATCCACAAGTTTCTGATAAACTGAGGTTTGTTTTGGCGCCTTGTGCCACCCCAGCAGAAGCCTTCATACAGGTAGGAATAAGTTTGTTTTTCTTCTGAGTTTATTACCAATCAAGTCTTATTTTCTGAGTTTCTATTTTAGAGTTCCTTTATAGGGGGAAGTAGTTGCTTGCAACACGTGAGGTGCTTTTTATTAACAGTGAACAGTGCAGAGGCTGTAGTCGGGAGAGTGGGTTAAAATCATTTCTTAGCTATGTGACCTTTACTGTTATACAATTACAGATAAAGTTAATAAGTATTTGTCTCGTATCTTCTCCGTTTTACCTGTCAAATGTGGACAATATTGTCTCTTGATGGAAGGGTTCAATGCCTGTGTAAACAAATGTAATACAGTGTAAAGTAACAACGACAGTATTTATTGAGTACTTTGTATGTATTACTCTGTATTATCTCACTTAACTCTCAAACAAATCCAATGCTAGTTAGAGAGTGCCTTTTTTCTCTGATTCTAGATCGCCAGAATGTTTTCTTACTACTGTTTTCTCTTGATTCTAAGGAATAACCACAGGAGCCCATCTTGGGTTATGCTTGAAGGTTCAAAAGATCCTGTACTTCTCATGAATGTTTGGGCTCTAGATAGCCTGTTTTAGTTTTTTTTCCCCAGTTCAGAAAAAATATTTCTACTTTTTGGACCATAACTAAGACCTTCTAACTCAGAAGTTATCAGTTTTAAAAGCATAATTATCTTTTAAACAAGAATTTATGAATTAAGTTGTTTTTTTTTTGAAAAGCATAAGTGAAAATATCAGCCTAAATGCTTGTAAATATTTCTATTTTTTTTCATTTTCTGGCTGCTTAATTTTACCTGAGCGAGAAACAAATTCATAAAGCTACTAAGAGCCAAGCTCCTGGCACTGGGAGTTGTGATTCTTTTTAATTCTTTTTTTTTTATTAAATCTTTATTGTTCAGATTATTACATTAGTTCTTCTTTTTCCCCCCCCATAACTCCCCTCTTTCCAGTTCCCACCCCACCCTCCGCCTTCACTCTCCACCTACTGTCCTCATCCATAGGTACACGATTATTGTCCAATCTCTTCCATCACCCCCACACCCCTCCCCCACAAGAATAGTCAGTCCATTCCCTTTCTATGTCCCTGATTCTATTACAATCATCAGTTCATACTGCTCATCAGAGTATTTATTCACTTGATTTTTAGATTCACTTGTTGATAGATGTGTATT